GCCTGACAACTTTGCCAAATAAAATTGACTTTTCGTATATGTTCAGGGGGGTAAAAATGCAGTCAAAGGGTCCTAAAAATAATAATAATAATAATAATAATAATAATAAGAAACGAACCAAAAACAATAGGGACCTCCAGCGGTCGCTTGCGAGGTCCCTAATAAGAAACGAACCAAAAACAATAGGGACCTCCAGCGGTCGCTTGCGAGGTCCCTAATTAAAGCTGCAAGCAGCGTTGGGCGGGACCTCGCACTCCACACAACTCGGGGCGTGCTGCTGCCGCGTCACGTTCCATCGTCACACGTGCGGACCAAAACATGACATTTCACGTAAATCAGCTCAAAATCGCCAAGCAGCGCTTACTTCCTGTTGCTGGCAGGTGGCGCTATCACTATGTCTTAATATTGTCATGTAGACAAGTTCAGTGCAGGACTGTTGTAACACACGTAAAGTTTCATTGAGATTGGACCACGTACGCTGAAGTTATGAGCACGTGTTCAGGGCGAGATGTTACAGAAAATATTAAGTTTATTGGAAATTGGACATTGGACACTGAAGTTATGAATGCTATTTTATGGCGAATCCGCTGAGTTCGACAAATCGTCACTGGCACGGTCATTTCACGTAACTCAGCTCAAAATCGCCAAGCAGCGTTTACTTCCTATTGCCAGTAAGTGGCGCTATAACTATGTCTGAATATTGTCATGTACACGTGTTCAGGGCAGGACTGTTATCAAGCATTTGAAGTGTGGAGCCGATTGGACAATGTACACTCAAGTTATAGCGAATTTGTGTTTTGTGGCGGTCCATCAAAATTTCCGCCACCCCACAGACACGCCCCCTCACCACAGTCAACACATATAATCAACAATGTGTTTTTGCATTTTATTTAAGTAAATTTCAGCTGGATCTGATCATCCTGCAAGGAGTACAACATGAAAGTATAAAACGTGATACTTCCTGTTGCCAGTATGTGGCACTATCACTATGTCTGAATATTGTCATGTAGACGGGTTCAGGGTGGGATTGTTATCAAACACGTGAAGTTTCATTGAGATTGGATCACGTACGCTGAAGTTATGAGGACGTGTTCAGGGTGGGACTGTACACTGAAGATATGAGTACTATCTGTTTGATGGTCAATCGGTGGAATTCGACACGTCGTCACAGGCACACGGTTAAACATACAGTCACAAATAGCACAACTTTTGATAACCAATGTGTGTAGATTGAAGTGATCGAATTTGAAGTCAATCTGATAAAATCTGTAGGAGGAGTTAGTTAAACAGAAGCCCTTAAATGCCGGAAATAGCATCCAACTATTTGAGCCAACTTTGAGGGAACACCACGGACACGCCCCGTAATGTACAGTCACAAATAGCACAACTTTTAATGAGCACCATTTTTTGACTGTACTGACCAATTTTGAAGCAGATCCGATAAATTCCCTTGGAGGAGTTCGTTCAAATACAACGCGAAAAATCATAGAAAATGCACACGGAATTCACTATGCCCAACTTTGAGGGCACGCCACGGACACACCCTTTAATGTACATGCACAAATAGCACAACTTTTAATCAGCACCATTTTTTTGACTGTACTCACAAATTTCGAAGCAGATCCGATAAAATCCCTAGGAGGAGTTTGTTCAAATACAACGCGAAAAGTTTGCCGAAAGTGAAACTTTAAATTAAAATGGCTGACTTCCTGTGGGGTTTCGGGTATGGGTCCAAGAGGCTTTTTTGTACGTCCCGGCATGTTACATGTGCCTACCGAGTTTCGTACATGTCGGTGAAACGTGGCGCCGGGGCTGCTGTTTTTTATCCTGTAGGGGGCGCTACACACACTACAAACACGATTTTTGGTATGTGAGCTTCAGGCACTACTCTACATGTGCCCTGTGAATTTCATATTCATAACTATTACGGTCTCCGCACAGTGATTTATCATGCCAAAAGAGTGCCACCTAGTGGCGTATTTGTTTTGGCCTTTTTAAGTGAGCCTTAGGGAGCCATGGGGAAGCATCGTACAAAGTTTCATCTTAATCACACATACCGTTGTAGAGATATAAACTTCTTCATTTTAAAGAGCGCCACCTAGTGGAAATGGCCTGAAATTGTGCACAATGCTTAAGGAAGACATGTGGAACTATGCACCTAAGTTTGATGTTAATCGGACAAATCAATGTGGAGAAATGGTCCACTTCTTTTTTTGACGAAAAATCCACAGGAAGTGCTAATTTTATAGCGTGCTTATTGTTTGAAATTTCAAAAATGTTCAAATTACGTTTTTTTGCTAGGGCGGTCCGCAGGTGCTAGGTGAAAAATATTGTGCGAATCGGACAAAGCGTGTTGGAGGAACACGAAAAAGTATTTTAAAGACATTTCGCGCTCTAACGAACCAAAATTATAGGCGGAAGTGGGCGGGGCCTATATGGGGAGATTCAGCTCTTTTCACCAAACACGTGGATACCAGTTTTTTGAATGTGCGACAAACTATGCAGAAGTTATTAGCCTAAACGCATTTTTTATGATAGTAGCGCCACCTACTGGTCAACCTGAAAGCGACGCATAGTATATAAAATTTTTCACCAGGCCTGACCACTTTGCCAAATAAAATTTACTTTTCAAATATGTTCAGGGGGGCAAAAATGCAATCAAAAGTGCTAAAAATAATAAGTAAGAAGAAACATAGCAAAAACAATAGGGACCTACAGCGGTTGCTTGCGAGGTCCCTAATTAAAGCTGCAAGCAGCGTTGAGCGGGACCTCGCACTCCACCCAACTCGGGGCGTGCTGCGGCCGTGTCGCGGGCCGTCGTAGCACGTGGGGACCACAACATGAAAATGTCACGTGAATCAGTTCAAAATCGCCAAGCAGCGCTTAACTCCTGTTGCCAGAAGGTGGCGCTATCACTATGTCTGAATGTTGTCATGTAGACATGTTCAAGGCGAGAGTGTTATCAAACACGTGAAGTTTCATTGAGATTGGACCACGTACGCTGAAGTTATGAGGACGTGTTCAGGGCAAAACTGTTTCAAAATATATTAAGTTTATCGGAGATTGGACATTGCACACTGAAGTTATGAGTACTATTTTATGGCGAATATGCTGAAATGGACAAGTCGTCACTGGCACGCGGTTTAATGTACAGTCCCAGCTGAACTTTTCTATCAGTTTGTATGACGAAAGAATTCAAAGTGACCAACTTTGACCTCACGCCACAGACACACCGTTCAACGTACATGCACAAATAGCACAACTTTTAATCAGGACCATTTTTTGAGTGTACTCACAAATTTTGAAGCATATCCGATAAATTCCCTAGGAGGAGTTCGTTCAAATACAACGCGAAAAGTTCGCCGAAATCGAAACTTTAAATCAAAATGGCCGACTTCCTGTGGGGTTTCGGGTATGGGTCCAAGAGGCTTTTTTGTACGTCCCGGCATTCTAAACAGGCCTACCGAGTTTCGTACATATCGGTGAAACGTGGCGCCGGGGCTGCTGTTTTTTTATCCTGTAGGGGGCGCTGCACACACGACAAACACGATTTTTGGTATGTGAGCTTCAGGCACTACTCTACACGTGCCCTGTGAATTTCATATTCATAACTATTACGGTGTCCGTACAGTGATTTTTCATGCCAAAAAAGCGCCACCTAGTGGCGTATTTTTTTTGTCCTTTTTAAGGGAGCCTCGGGGAGCCATGGGGAAGCATCGTATCAAGTTTCATCTTAATCACACATACCGTTGTAGAGATATAAACGTCTTCATTTTAAAGAGCGCCACCTAGTGCTGATGGCCTGAAATTGTGCACGATGCTTAAGGAAGACACCTGGAACTATGCACCCAAGTTTGGTGTCAATCGGACATACCAATGTGGAGAAATGGTCCACTTTCTTTTTTGATGAAAATTCCACAGGAAGTGCTAATTTTATAGCGTGCTTATTGTTTGAAATTTCGAAAATGTTCAAATTGCTTTTTTTGCCAGGGCGGTCCCCAGGTGCTAGGTGAAAAATTTCGTGGGAATCGGACAAAGCGTGTAGGAGGAACACGAAAAAGTAGTTTAACGACATTTCGCGCTCTAACGAAAAAAAATTATAGGCGGAAGTGGGCGGGGCCTATATGGAGAGATTCAGCTCCATTCACCGAACGCGTGGATATAAGTTTTTTGAATGTGCGAGCAAATATGCAAAAGTTATTAAGTAACCAAAAAGTGAAAATTCGTTTCTCAATAGTAGCGCCACCTAGTGGCAGACCTAAAAGTGACACATGTAAACTCCGCATTTTTCAGCAGGCCTGACAACTTTGCCAAATAAAATTGACTTTTCGTATATGTTCAGGGGGGGTAAAAATGCAGTCAAAGGGTCCTAAAAATAATAATAATAATAATAATAATAATAATAATAATAAGAAACGAACCAAAAACAATAGGGACCTCCAGCGGTCGCTTGCGAGGTCCCTAATAAGAAACGAACCAAAAACAAAAGGGACCTCCAGCGGTCGCTTGCGAGGTCCCTAATTACATTTGTGGAGCTGGAAAATTGCTTTGAAACTTAAAAGCTTAAACTTGCTTTAACATTTTTATCAGTGGCACGGTTCTGATATTGTATGACTTTGGACAGATGCAGTGATAGTTTTAAGTCTATAACATAAATACATTAGATTCTCCTCAACCAGAGAGAGAGAGAGAGAGAGAGAGAGAGAGAGAGAGAGAGAGAGATTATTCTGTCAAAGAAGTCTTTTCAGAGAGTTGTGACACTAAAATAACGGAACAACATAGAATTTATATGATGGTGGGATTTCTAAGGAATTAGGGAATGATTGCTCAGCTTAATCAATGCAAGTCAACGTCTCTGATCTAAGTCAATAGCGCTGAGGCTCTTCAACAAGAGTCTTCATCAGAGCACAGGGACCTCACTGACAATGTACCACATGAGTGTTATTCCTCACTAAGTGTGCAAAGTGCTTCTTTTAAAAGAGTGATTCAGAATGCAATACCTTCTTGGCAAAGGCCCGTCCACACTGGTCGCAGGCGTGGAGGGAGAAATTCTTGGTGACTCTGACTTCAGTGGAGGTCGACCCCGTACCGCTGCTCTCTGACTGGGCGTCGTGCCGTCGGGTGTGTGGGGTTTGGTTGCTGGGCGAGGTGGTGGAGGAGGAGTTGCGTTGGTGTGTGTGTTTTTCACTGCGGCGGGTCAGTGGGGGGCTGATGGAGCGATGCTGGTGGGTCTGCTGTCTCTCCTGCTTACGGGTGACGGGAGGGGAAGGAGCGAGCGCCGGCGTTGAGACATCCTGCTGCTTCCGAGTAATGGGGGCAGGGGGCGGGGCAGAGGAAGAGGAGGAGGAGGAGGAGGAGGAGGCTGATGTGGTGCTTGGGGGAGCTGTGGAGCACTCTTGCTTGCGAGTGACAGGAGGTGAAGGGGAGGAGGAGGGCGGCGAAGAAGCGTGGCGTCCGTTCACCTCCTCTTTGATGTTGCTGCTTGTCCTCTTGGTGGGGTTTGTGCTGTTGAGGACGACCTCGGCTAGCCTCTTCACCGCCCGGCTCTCCAGTTTGGGCATGATCTTGGCGAGGTATGCGGAGGACTTCTTGTGGACCACGGTGACATGACGCAGGACGTCACGTTTGCGACGAGACTCGTAGCGACAGAGGGGGCAGCGGTAGAACTTAATGAAGATGTCGTTGCCATCTGTGTGAAGCTCAATGTGCTTTGTTAAGTTCTGACGTGAGCTGAACTGTCGCTTGCACAGCTTGCAGAAGAGCTGCTTGAAGTCAAAACCCACTGACAGTTTGGTCATTTTGGCGGGCACGGCCCCGCCGCACGTGTTGCCCCCACGTGAAGCCGATGATGGTAAGGACGATGTCATCTTTGGGCTCGACGGGGCCTCCTCTTCCTTCACCTTCATGGTGTTTTGTGCCACAGGAATAGCTTTAGTTGTTGTCCCGGTGCTGTCACTAGGAGACGGGGCAGGGCTACTGTCGATGTCCTCTTCCTCATCTTCATCTGAAGGTTCTACTGCTTCCTCTTTCACTCGGATATTGTTGCTTTGGACTACAGTAGCGCTGCTACTGTTAGGAGTGGCTGCTGGAGTAGAGGAGGTGGGCGTGGTGGCAGGCCTGTTACTTTTGATGCTATATATTTTGTGGACAATACGCATGTGTCTCTTCAACATGAGCTGAAATAAACAGACAAAAGATCAAAAACATGATTACTCTACAATTCAACAACCCATTTAGATAGTAAAATACCACCCACAAGAACAACTTGAGAGTGCCTCTTGCTGCCAGGACTTTTAAGTAATCAAAAGCTAGAAAAGCTTGAAGCTGACAGCGGAGCAGCAAACCAACCTGAGAGCTGTAGTTCCTCTTGCAGAGCGTGCAGCGACATGAGGCCGGGGTCGCCTGCGGAGAGGCTGGGAGCGGACTCTGAGGTTTAGGCTGGTTTTGGTTTGAAGGCGTTGTTTTAGAGTTCACAGGGGTGGACTTGGAGCTGTTGCCACGTGTTGGAGAGGAATTGTTGCTCTTCCTGGGGGGTGTGACCTCCAGAGAGAAGGGCTGGCCGGGCCGCGAGGCGATGCTGGGCGTGATGGTGTCCCTCCGTAGACCGCGATGCACCTCGTCGAAATGACGGCGTACGTTGGCTTTAGTAGCAAAGCTTTTGAGGCACACTGGGCAGGATTTTCCAGTAGGTGTGCTGAGAGTCCTTGGCCGTCCTGCAGTAACAACAACAATAAATATTATTTCCAAATGACCATATTCAAACTTTTTCACTGTAATTTGCATCAAATCTTACCTTTCACCATAGAGAGAAGGCTTGTGGGAACTGTACGCGTCTCTGTGAACTTTCGGAGCTCTTCCAGTTTGGTCTGGTGCATTTTTCGGCAGTGACGTCTGATGCTGCGGCGAGAGTTAAAGTCCTGACCGCATAGACAACAGGAGATTGTAACATCCTCAACCTGGATGGGAGGGAGAGAACGAAGAAGAGGGAGATTGAGTGATTCTGATAAACAAGGCAATGTGGAAAATGTGTTTTATCAATTAGAATATGAAAATGCAACACATCTCAGGCATGACAAGTATTTCTAAAATCAGTTTAAAAGATGTACATGCACTGATTTTTGTTGGATACTCACTCTGAGCACCCCAACTTTACTGTCACTTGTGCTTCCTGACGTGTCCAGTCACCTACCCCACTAGTGGACCCCTCGTCTTCAAGCTGTGGCTGCTCCGCTTTAGTCTCCTCCTCAGCCTCCCATCTCCTCTGTCCTTGATTGTGTCCCGGGCTGTTGTGGCTCTCTGGCCCTCCCGGCTGGCTCGGCTGGTTGTTGTCCACACCCTCCATTGGTTCTCCTTCCCATGCTACCGGACTCTCTCTGGCACTGTGAAGGACGTTGAGACAAACAGTCAGAGACAAGGAAGGGCTGCGAGGAGCCTTAAATCCCATAAACAAGACGAGGGTAAGTTAGATTTGAAAAGTTACAGGACATTTTAATCCATCAGCATACCACTTACCTGGGTGTGTGCGATGGATATCTCGCCAGCTCCTCCTCTGTGGTGAGGTACTGGAACACGGCCTTGGTAGTGGTCTGAATGGGCTCCAGTCGTACAACGTAGTCTGGCCGGTCGACTTTGGGATATATGGCGTCCAATAAATCCTTCATGGCTACACTCTGTCTGTCATCACCCGATGAACCTAGAAAAGGATGAAATAATATTATAGTCAGTAGTAGGTTTATCCCTAATAAGATCCAATCAATAATATTTTGTTTAGCCTTTGCACAAAACTACCATATGAGTCCCTGATCAATACCAAGCACTACTGTTACTTCTATGGCTGCGGAGAAATTTGATAGTTCTTCACAGGCGGCTGGGCCCAGTTCACTTTCGGTGGGGATGCTTGAATTTCCTGGGGCTTGCATTTTGTTTAATTTTTCTCATAACCAAAGCAAAGAATGGTGCATGGTTTGAAAGGTAGAAGGAGCTTCAGTATTATGTGGAACTAACAGTGTAGAAGGAAACATATGAAAGCTAAAGTTCATGTTTTCTTGCCGATGCAACATAACTGTATCAGCTAACAAACAGAGAGTAAGTTTAACATTTGTAAACAAAAATATAAAAAACCAAGAAGGGTTGTGGAAGACGACACAAGTTGGTGTTAGGTGTGTGTAGTTGGCGGAAACTTATTCCATCATCATCTGACATATGGCAGTTTGTCCTTACAGTTGGCAAAATAACACCATTAACAAAAGGACAGAACCCTTAACAGCCACAAGTATGTGCCTCAGGAGCCAATGTGTCCTCTCAAAATGTCTTTGAGCAAGACACTGAACCCCAAGCTGCCTTCCTCTTGTGGCAAATTGTGCATGAGCATCTGATAAAAGCCCAAACATCTATCTATATAAAAAAACATCTCCCAGAGGCGAGTCACCCTTCTCTTCAATTTTCTTTTGTGTTACTGAACAAATTTAAAATGCCCACAAAGAAGTCAAAATGGAAAGACATTTAATACAGGTAGAAAGTGGATGGGTTTGAGTAACTCCATTTATATACTGAAAAGATGAGAGTCTAGGGCTGCAAAACAAAATCTGTTCATGCACTTTTGGTTTGGCACTTACTTTTATTCCCACAGAGCTTTCTTTTATAGTTAACACAATTATTTTGCCTCTCTAAGGGCAGAAATATGTGGATATTCCCCTTTTAGTAAATGAGCAAGTTTCTTTCATAAAATACTTTACAACAGGAGATAAAGAGAAGACAGAAGGAGAGGAATTGAATTTTAGGCACTTTAAAAATGGACCACAAATCATGACTGGAGACTGTATAGATCCACTGTCACGACTAGATGGTGAAAAATGTAATGTTTTAAAGAAAACCATTCTGTTTATCCAGTAACTACATAATTATTGCCCGGTGTGTCAATGGTGAAAAACAGACACAAATTAAGTCATTTATCAAAATAACAATGTGATACACTTTCAGCCAATTGTAATGGACTCTTGATTGAGAAAAATTAAGCCACTGGTGCAAGGAACAACTTCATTAAGAGCACAGACAGACAAAAAGGAGAGTGTGATGAAACAAAGTTCTTTTTTTACGACAGCGATCATTACAGTGGGTAAAACTGAAGAAAATATAATTGACCGTTTGTGTTGAGATTGATTTCTGTTTTAGGAGGAGATGAGAGGAGAGTTGAGTAACAGAAACTACTTGAACAGTCTCCTAGGCTTCCTCCTTTCCCTGAGTCTCATTCCACTTCTAAAGAGCGAAGAATAGAGACACAGATACATACTGTGACTAATGAGAAGTAGATAAAACACCATGTTGAGAGATCAAAGTCAATTTCCTTAGTGATATGAGAGGAGAGCAGAGGAGAAACTGCACTTTTGGTGAGAAAAATGATTGATAGATTGAACGTGTTACAATGTGCATGTGAGTTTGTGTGAATGTGTGTGGAAAGAGTACCGTGTGCAGACAGATAAAGGGAGAGTAATGAGTAGGAGACAGATGGTGTGAAAGAGAGAAGAAACCTTGGAGTGTCAGAATGTGAAAGTAAACTGTGGAGAAGTCATAAGAGACACTGAAGCAATCAATGATTCGGTGCATAGGTTTTTGTGTTAACTGAACTAGGTGTGTTTGGGTGCAAGTCAGTTTAATCCCTGATTTGTTGAGGGAGTCTCTGTTTGTCTGGGTGATTTGTACAAGTTTGCATTTGCATGTCCACAGCATACACAAAAGCTCTGGCCCTGGCTCTTGGAGTTTGTGTTTTACCTCTTCTGCCTATTGATTTTATTATTGAGTTAATGGGCACTTGTGTTTTCTTTCTCCGCTAGGTTTGTGCTTTGATTTCAGGACTTTGAGAATGCAACTCAATTCATAAATGTGTATTCCTGACATGTTTATATGCGTGCGTGTCTGCATGCTAATGTGTCGTGTCACTAACCGTCGGGTTCAGGCAGCCGTGATAGGCAGTAGTACTCTTTATGTGTGATGAGGTTGGGCAGACCTCTGAATAGACTGCGGCACAGTTTACACTCGAAGATGGTGTCCACTTCCCTCAGCAGCATGTGTTTCAGCTGGCTGGTGCCTGCAAGCCAAAGAAAAGCAGTGGGGATTACTTCCAGTGATTTAAGGGAGAATTATAAAGACATATAGAGACAGTATCTTTTGGCTGCCAGTGGGCATCTTACGTACAGTATCTTGTAATATATGAACAAACGCATAATCATGGTAGTGTTAGAAAGAGAAAGGGAGCACTTTTCTGTGGCTGTGAAAAGCAGGTTACCTTTGCCATTAAAGACCATGCTCTTTCCATGGAGTGTGTACAATCTAAACAAATCTAAATTTATTTATACTTGTCTCGTAATTGTTATAAAGGAATCTGCTGTCTTGTATACTGGTGTCGAACCCAGATTTAGGCTGATAAAGTACACTGCACATTGCCAAAAAAAACCAAGGTAACAAGAAAAACAACATTTGTTTCAACATGCAGAAATGTATAAAAAATTTACATGATCATCAATATTTTTAAGAACACAAGGAAAACAGAAGAAGAGTTCAACAGAAAAAAAAGACAGATTCCACTCTGTATGAGTTTACTTTGCCACATCCAAATAAAAATCTCATTGACCTTTAAAAAAGGGCTCAGATGATGATTGCCTTTGTATCAAGTGCTACTTTTCCGTCATTGTCGTCAGCATGCTGACTCATATCTTCAATATGGAAGTATTCAGTGTTTCGTTGGATATCTGACTCATATTTATTTTTTGTATTTGTACTCCTCTGGCTCTGTCTAAGTAACAGCATGTATTGTTGGCACATTTTACTCACACATGTGGGCTTGCACACATACACACGTTTCATGCAATATCACTGGCTGAACACTGTTATGATGACTCACACAGATGTCAGTACCTGCACAACTTTCTGTCATTCTCTCTCTCACACACACACACACACACACACACACACACACACACACACACACACACACACACACACACACACACACACACACACACACACACACACACACACACACACACAGCTGCATCCAGATTCATCTATTGCTCTTTTGCCACGGGCTTAGTAAAACTTTGGTGTTGTGGCATGATCGCATACCACAACAGCAGGGGATAACCGTGCTGGCCCTATGGCCCTGCCTGGGAGCTGTGCCGACCAGTGACAGTCTCAACCCTTCAAGGAGCTTTGGTTGCTGTGCTTAACTCAGCCGCTGCCTCAGAACATGTGTGTAGGCAACAAGGGAAAAAGCAGCAGTTGTAAAAGTGCTACGTTCTGTTTTGCATACTTAGATAGATCTATCTAAATCAAACAAAAACATTAAAGAACATTATAGATAGATCTATCTCAGTATCTATCTCTCTAGAAAGAGAGATAGATACTTTTGTATAAGGAAATTGATCTATTGAAGCTAATAAAGTCTGCTGCTGTGTTAATGCAAAGGAAATATTTCCTTTTTTATTAAATACTCCCCGGCAACTAACCACTGGAAAGCTTGAATCCACTAGAGGAAGTGCTAAAGTGATGGACTGCTGGTGACAGACTGCTAACATTATTTTATAATAAAAATTGGTCAGCACCAAACACATTATTTTACATTATTTTTATCTTCATCTTGCCGATTCAGTCTTAAAATATTTGGATAAAAACACAGACACAAGTGCACATCATAAATAATAATAAACAAGTGAATGGATAATAAGAAGACACAAAGACACAAACCTGAACGGAAGCATTCAATTATCTGCTGAATCCCAGACTTGGAGGTCTGCAGAGGCTGCTGGAGCAGAGGTGGATCTCCAGGCTCCACACAGACACCTAGCGAGCGAGAGAGACAGAGTACATCTTATCAAAGTGAGCATATAATTATGCAGAGAGTGTGACAGTTTTTGAGAAAGGCACCATCATGGGAATGGGAATTCCGGGGACCTGGTAAGACACAAAGTATATTGCAGCGTGCTTAAAGATACATGCAATCACAGTCAGACAATGAGGTCTGTATGGGCCAGTGATTCATTCTGACCTCCTTACCTCCTTGCACACACACACACACACACACACACACACACACACACACACACACACACACACACACACACACACACACACACACACACACACACACACACTAAAAGGACAACTATGAGAAAGCAGGTCATCTATCTTTTCTGTCCAATTTCAGTATATCATTAAATATATCCCTCATTCCTTATTTTTATCGAAGATGTGATGAGAAGGGAAGTACAGGGCTCAGACGTTCAAAGAGGGACAGAAAAACATTTCTCACTAACTCAGTCTTCCGGTGATGCTTGTCCAGAGGACAACGGCTCATATGGAAATATTGGCAAACATGCAGTGGGGGAGCAGCGGCATGCTGGTGGCAAATTTTTCTGCTTAGTCCAACTGTGTTCAGAGCCAGTGCAGCATCTGATACTTCAGCTTGGGTATCACACAGAGCCACTTTATCAGTCGAAACAGGAACGTGACCAGGAGGAAATGTATTGATGTGTATTGGAAAATGTTTTTTTGCTTTTGCTCGACCTCAGTCACCAGGGAGTGCAGGGTCAGCTGGAGAACAGCAATCCTGGTGCTGGTAGGGATTTAATGTTTTGTTTGATTTACTGACCTGCTTTTACAATTTCTTTGTCACTTTATAACTTTTAATCGTTCGCAGCCCATGCTAGCCAATAACAACATCAGGTAAATGTCTAAAACAAAAATATGCATGGGCAATTATATTATTTAGGTCAGAGATGTATTTTAACTTCAAAATGTAATCAGCCTTTTATGGCTTGTCTTCTGTTAAATCATTAACAATCCTGATTAAAATACTGCAGAGAACACCACAAATGACTAATGAAGTACAAATCACATATTTCTACAAAAAAACAAACAAATATGTCTTTGGGGTGTTATTTTTTTACTTATTGATCTCAAATAAACACATTTATTTTTCCTTTGTATAAAACATTAAATATAAAATAGCAGGAGTGGGGCTTGGGTTCCTGCATTATTGATGCAAGCTGACTGTGGCTCCATGACCCACAATGGGCTACAGAGATGGATTGTGGAGAGATAAAGTGCTCTCATTCCACCCGTTTCCATGCATTTTAATTTCAGCAACTTCATTTTTCCATCAGTACCATCTTAACTTTTCATGGAGATGGTCATACAAACAGAGGGGTGAACAGCCACAGAAAGCAGACCAATTACACTCACAAACATCAACACAGACCCTGTAATCACCTCAAACGCTTAAGCTTAATTTCTCACAACATATTGAAAGAAGGTGACAGGGAGAACATCATTTCTGCTGCAACAAAAAGAACATTTTGTAACAGCGATGTCTGGGACAAAGCTTTAAATAAAATATTGTCAATGTTTCCAGCAGTGACAAATGTCCACTGTTTGTTCGGCTTTGAAGTGTGCACTTCAATTACAGGCCGAAAAGCACTATTTATGTTTAGTCAAGATGCACTACTGTCAATCAGAGGACAATGCTGGGTTTTGTTAATTCATGGCAACATATATATTAAATGTGAATTAAATGAAAATAACATATTCTGCTATTTAACCAGACAGAGTTTTGTTCTAGCCGTGATTATGTTACTTGTGATCAGACAACAAGACTACAAGTGGAGACTCTTGCTTGAATGCACATAAACAAGCACATAAACCAATACTACAGGGTAAGAGTGCAACATGGCAACGTGTATGTGGGTGTGTTGGTGAACGTGAGACAGACATAATACAAAAAGACCAGCAGACAGGCTGACACACCCTGAAAGATGCCGACAGAAAGAGCTAGAAATGTGAATGACAACTGTGTGAGCGGGAGAGAGAGATGGAGATTATGTATTAATGTGTGACAGAATGTGTTTTCCTCTTCCCCATCCCCCCACACCTCTCTTAGGCAAGCTGCTATATAATCCCAGCAGGGCGGGTCAGTGACCCGCTGACCTCCACACCCCCCTCTGCAAGAGGGTCAAAGATCAACCAATCAGAAACGTCTGTCGAAGTAAACAGCTTCCTTTTACTATGAGTGGGGAAACTCTACCAGCACAGCTAGAAATTAACTCACAGTAGCAGGATTTACATCTGAATCAAGACATCTACCTCGGTTCAAAAAGCATTGATGGAAGGAGGAAAGCTAAGGTGACAGAAAAGAAGAGAGGATTGTGGGCAGCCAAGCCAAAAGGGAGGAAGGAAACAAACAAACATGTCAGCATGTATAAAGTTTTAATCCTATTTTAAAAGGTAGGTTTAGGTTTTACCGTTTGTTTGGACCAATTTCCTACTCAGTTAATGGCCTGTGTCTGTTCCTTTAATGCCCTCCACAGCTTACATAGTGAGAGTAAACTAGGGCTGACGCCTTCTGGTCGGTTGGTCGGTTGTTTGGTCTATATGCTGTCGTCCAACCAAATTCTCACTGCTCGGACAATCGCTATTGTTACTTTAATTAGGAAAAAAAGCTTCTTAATCTGTTATTTGGGGTCAGGAGGCACAACATGCAGACATAATATATATTGATGTAAGCTATTTTGTTAGAAGTAACATTCATTATGTATGAAAATAATATTCAAATATATTTTACTTCAAGAAATGTAGTTCTGTTTTAATAATTGGATGGTTAAACACATAAGTCAGGAAGTCAAAACACCTTCAACTTCAGCTTGGACTGGAGACTGCAGGGCTTAACTTACTGAACATTTACTCAGCTCCAAACTAATTAACACAATGTCAAATAACCAGCAAAAATCTCTACATCAGCCCGGAGCCGCATAGGACAGAAGAGCTGAGTGTACTGCTATGGAGTAACATGGGCTAATAACAGGGTAGTAACGAAGATTCAAGCTCAACGATGGATCGATAAGGTTATCGACTGTCTGTAACCCAACTTCAAACTCTGAAGCTGTAAGGAAGCCATGTTTATGTTGTTTTAGTGTTCATTTTGTTATTTAGCTAATTCCTCTGGCTGGGGGATTCTGGACTGATATTGTAATGTTTAGGGATAACAGAGAGAAACTGTGAGAACTTTAAGCATCATTTGTAGCCTAATTTGAAACTGTGATTAGCACCCAGCAGCTAGATTTAGTTAACCTAGAACAACATGCAGTTCTCACCCCCCTTTCAGAATTGTAACAGGCTTCTATCGGTTTCTATTTTTTTTTCCTGCGAGGACACACCATTTGATTCTATTTACACAGCCAGCCACACTGCGATGCTCTGGCAGTGAAGCTACACAGGCTGACAGACAGTTGTAGCCTGGGGGTGGATGAATCAAAGCAGCAGAAAGTGCAGAGGGAAGAAAACCTAACCCACCTGTATTGTGACCATGGCTGCCGGCGCTGGTCTGCTGAAGCCGCTCCTCAGTCTGGCAGCTCTGGTCCCTGGTCTCAGTTTGGTTTTCAGGCAGCAGAGGGGGAATGGGCTTCCACAGAGGCTTGGCCTGGGCAGAAGAGTCGTCCTTTTCCTGGACGTCTATCGGAGATTCCTCCGGGTCCAAGTCCCCCGACGGTGCCTCAGCTGAAGCAGGGGTCTGGAGTTGGGCTTGATCACAGGGCTGGTCTCCTTCTGGGGTTGCTTCCTGCGGTGGAGGCTGGGTGTCTGACTGGAGCTGGCCTTCCTCCATCTCCGCCTGACCACCGCTCTGGGGGACCAAAACCAGAAAACCAGAAAAACATGAGCAACAGAAAAATGACAAATATAAAATGAGTAAGTGAAGCCACAGTGTGTAAATGTAAAAGTAAAAAATATGAAAAATGGTGCAGTCTGTGTGTTGCTTTCAGTCCAATAATCTCAGTGTCTTTCTTCATACTACCACTGGATGGCACCAACGTCAGAAATGTTCAAATTTTATACATAATGACTTACACTAAAATACACTAACAATCAATATACTATCACACGTATCTTGATTTCAGATTTCGCCAGCATCTACCCTGCATTGTTAAGTTTAAGGGTCAGACTATAGGGAACAAACAAGGAAAGTGTTACCCCCCCCCCTCTCTCTCTCTCTCTCTCTCTCACACACACACACACACACACACGCGCAATCTTGTAAATTAAACATGATCATGGCGGTGGAGTATGTATGTGTGTGTATGTGTGTATGTGTGTGTGTGTGTGTGTTTTGTGTGTTTGTCTGTGGCTGTCATGTCTCCAGAAGTGTCCAGAGATTTTGTAGGTGGACATTAACCTTGTCGCACACAGCAACCCTTCAGCAGATAAGTGACTCCACACCAACCCATCAGTGTGCACACATACATCTCTCTCTGTGTGTGTAGCTGTGTCTCTTGACCAGACCTCCTTTCTCTTTTTAAGTCCCCAATCTCTTCTCCTCTCCCACCCACCAATTTATCCTCATTTTCTCTCTCTGTCTGTGTCGGTCTCTCTCACTCCTTGTGTCCCCGCTGCCCTTGAAGAGGGATAAATGACTCCCACCGTTCAGGCACATTACAGAACATCACCACAGGACAAGTGGGCCACTTGGACACCATGTCACCAGTACACACACACACACACACACACACACACACACACACACACACACACACACACACACACACACACACACACACACACACACACACACACAGTGAATACCACGGCATAACCAAATGACCACATAATAGCTCAACAGTATGTTACACATGCTCAGTGGAGCCATATGTGCAGTACAATGCACTTAACTCCTTGCCAATGAACACAATCAATGTGTGAGTGTGAAGAGATGGAGGGAAAAAAACGAACCTATTTCATCAAAATCTAAAACTTCTATGGCAAGAAAATAAAACATCACCATCTTGACTGCCCACTGGCCAGGTAAAGAAACACCAGGGAGCCCCACCATTTAGGTAGCATATGAATATATGAAAGGCGACTGTTTGGAGTAGGTGGACTAGTCACTTACTGTTAAATAAAACTACTAACTGGAATACAGAGAGTGGATTATAATGTTTATGACTGATTACTGAACATGATTTATTTCCCATATTGATAAAAATAGGAATATTCCTTACATCAAAATATGATACGATCCTCTCTGTTAGTTTATCATGATCCCAGACTGTAATGAAGATCATTTCTGAACAAAGCGCTCGCATTAAATGAGCAACTGCTGTCTCTGTGGTGCTTCCTAGAATATGAATAAGTGAATTTATCGCAATAAATGTGTTTCATTGTATTGCCTGGTGTCTGAGCACAAACTGTATGTCCCTCATGGAGGTAAAGGCTATGAAATAAAAGGGCATGCTGTAATTTCCCAGTGCACAACAAAAAGTGTTAGACATGAATAAATAAAGAAACAAACACACAGGCATAAGACAGGGCTGGGATTAGGTCTAGTTCTAGAATAAAACAAACCTGGACTACATTTAATCTGTTTCCAGGAAACTGAGCACCTATTGTGATAAAAGTGTGTAAAGTTTGGCTGTTACATATGCTAATAGAGAGTAACGTGTGTCTGGTAAACTAGGATAAAGACATTCAGAAGGTGCCTTTGCACTAATTTACAATGTGTTAAGTGGCCTATACTGTATACTCAACAGCTAAGCATCAAATTAATTCTTCTCCACTGACACACACAGTAAAATTTGACCATTACATGATAGTTGTGGGGGTCTGGCTGGGTCTTAACTTTAAAGAAGTCTGTTTTCTACAATCTGACAGTGAAAGGTGTGAGGCTTGACAATAACATCTACACATTGCTGTCTTTTTTTTTTTTCCAGTACCTGTCTGCGGTGACAGTGAGAGCTCTTCCTCCCAGTAGACTTCTGGGCCTTCACCATGCTGCCAAGACTGGCCTGTGGCACCACACGTTCACAACCAGCACACACCTGTAACCTGCAACAACACTCCACATGAGCCAAGGAAAGGCTGAGCATAAGAAATTACAGACGCTTCTCATGTCTCATCCTAGCACTGTCTTCATGTTTATTTACATTGATTCACACCTAATAGCCACCTGTTACCTGCAAAAACTAAACTTTTGCTAAGAACTGTTATTAAGTATACATTACATATTGCTGCACTACCGCCTGGTGCATCATTATACTTAAACATTTGAGGAAAAGAGGACAATGCAATGGAAATGCTAACAGATATGTGTTCATTTTCTTACCACTATACTCTTAACTATCACAATGCAATTAAAATACAGTGCTTACCATACATATGTTATCATTTTCTGTTTTTAGACTATTATATTCTGACATCCACAAATAGACCAACCAGATCCTTCTTTATTTAAAAAGATCAAATTAATTAAAGTTGGCAAATAATATTTATCACTAGAATAAACAACAAAAATCGACTTCTGTTGCCAAACTGTACACCCACAACACATTTCAGTGCAGAGATTTCTTGTGAAAGCATGTTTAATGCATTTGAAAACACACAGTCAACATAATGGCTGTGTGTGTTTACTGGCTGTAGAGTGCTTAGAAACTACCAAGCGACAAACAGGATCTAAATATAAAACAGAATTGAATATTTTAAGGTCACAGTAATGGTTTCCCACAATGCTAATTTGGCTGCTCAATTAAACCCATGTTACCTGCAGCATTAGTCTGTATGAGTAACACTACCCCTGTATGCATTTAAAATGAGTACATTGGCATTCCTAACATAGCGTATGCTAATGGTTATATGGTTTCCACAGAGTACCTTACAGTGTCAGGAACACTGTTACTGCATATATATGTGTGGCTCTGCATTATAAAACATTTTATAACAAGTAATTTTATGCAAATAACTACTGCTGTAGTCAACATACATACACTGAACAAAATTATAAACGCAACACTTTTGTTTTTGCCCCCATTCATCGTGAGCTGAACTCAAAGATCTAAGACTTTCTCTATGTACACAAAAGGCCTATTTCTCTCAAATATTGTTCACAAATCTGTCAAAATCTGTGTTAGTGAGCACTCCTCCTTTGCCGAGATAATCCATCCACCTCACAGGTGTGGCATATCAAGATGCTGATCAGACAGTATGGGTATTGCACAGGTGTGCCTTAGGCTGGCCACAATAAAAGGCCACTCGCAAATGTTTGACTTCAGCTCATGATGAATGGGGGCAAAAACAAAAGTGTTGCGTTTATAATTTTGTTCAGTGTATATATACACACACATATATGAAGTACACAAATAAAACTCCACTTATTAAGGTTGACGAGAGCTTCAACTAAAACACGTGTGCTTTATTTCATTATATTTTATTTATATGACAGCATCAATGGTGAAATAACATGTGTTGTTGCATATGTTGCCCTCTAGTGGCGGTCTACGTTAAAACAGCCACATGCACCTGACACCACACTAGTGCTGAATTCCACTGGTTCAAAATATGCATTAGCTGCACTGTGGCATACTGAACAGCCTCATTTGCTTACTAATTTGTTATCCTTTCTCATACCTAATAGCAACAGTCCAGCATTAGCTGTCACCAAGTGTAGCCAAGCAACGGATAACTCTGGACGTCAAAATTAGCGGATAAGCTTTAAATGTTCCATGAGTCAAATGGTGGGCTAATGAGATGGGCTGCAACTGACAGGTGCTTAATGCAGTCTGGGACACTGGTGTCACAGACTTATGGAAAATTGTAACAGGCAGGCAGCAAAACACCAACCAACTGAGCAGAATATGAAAAAGGAAAAGTATTTTTCTCTGAATAAAATCACATCTCTTCTAAGCCTGGGGTCAACATACATTAGTTAATTCTGTGATTTTATGGTAAACTATCCAAAAGTAGTAAATACATGGACTGATAGCTAAAAATAATGCTTGCGCTGTATAACTATGGGGAAGGAAATGGAGAGAAATTTGAAGCCTTTAACACCTACAGAGAAGTTACATGACAGGGAAAGGTAAGTGTGGTGCGGCCCTCAGATGCTTCCATGATACAGCCTGTGTCATCATTACATGCACAGCCATACACAGCTTGGGCAGATTTGTTTTTCCACTGAAACTCCAGCAGAGGGAGACAAAGCTTGGACCGGAAATGTTTTTCCAGTTGAAAAGTTTTGTAGTCTGGTGAGGTCTCCAAAAAGCATGACACTGAGCGACACACACAAGGGGCCACAGAGGGGTTGCCCCAACACAACGTATGTCTTAATACAAAGGGTGTGATTTCGCTATACTGTTTCACTAAGGCATGCACACATATGGAGTTCTGCCTAGTGATTAAAGTAGCTCCGGCAACAAGGAGCAAGTGAGATGATTACAATTCAAAACAACAACTATACAACTTCACGAACTTAATTATCTGCCAGAACAATGTCAACATGAAGCCACTGTGTACATGAAAAGGCAAAGGTCAGATTGCTCTTATGGCCTCGTAATGGGAAATGAAATACTTTGTAGGGTAGCAGCTGTGTAAATCATGTTATCATGCAGGTATGGTCCTTCAGAGGGATCCCTGTGATTAAGAAGAGTTTTTGCATGGAATTAAAAACAAAAAACACTTCTGCACCTGTGTTTTGTAAGCAGTGAATCAGGACCAAACCATGGGTCACACATCTGTTTCAGTAAAGTCACTTGAAGGACTAGACATTGCTTAAAGTTGAATGGGAAGAAGACATGGTTACTACATTTAAATCCCGAGTTTTCAATACACACTCTAATGACTGGATCTGACGGTTGTAGTCAGAGTTCAACATGATATTTAGTCATGAGGTAGATCATTATACTTCATGGTCGACAGTTACTACTGACAACATTGAGAATTTACAACTACATACAAAATGCATTATGTCTATCAAGTTGAAACAGCAATATTTATGCCTAATAATATTAGCAGTGATGTTCAGGAACGCAGATTTTTTAAAATCTTGGATGAATATGAAAACACACAGGCATATGTAGACCACTGTCAAATACACTATTAGCTGTTTCCCATGGGTGACTAGCTCTAACTACAGATCATAAGATTTTCCCAGATTGCAGTCAGAAAACAGACAGACTCCATGGTGATGTGTCTGACCTGTGCACACTGTTTAGAGGTGTCAGGGTTACAATCAGACTTTAAACAGCTTTTCCAGACTTCCAAACCTCTGTAACAACCATGCATTATCTTTCAAATTCAGGCCGGACACATGAAACAATCTGCGTCTAGTAGTGGGGATGGACCAATTAATTAAGAACTGTGCGATATCAGGACAGGAGAGGCTACCTGCAGTGGTGTAGCTGTTACATAACAGATAAACACAACTGGAGTTGAGGCTCATTTGAAGGGAGTAGACAGGGGAATGTCAGTCTGTCAGGAGTGGAATGCAGTACCAGTCCCAAACAAATGTGGGTAATGAAAGTTGCTGTTAACGTGTATCACACTACATTAATTTAGTAGATATTCTGTGCTAATTTGGCTGCTATACACTGTGTATCCTACACAGGCTTCAGCAGGAGCCGACACCTCGCACTACAAACAGTGCACAGTTGCATCAAATTATGTGTACATGGTGAAAGCGTGGGAGATATGCTATAGGTGGACTATGATTTGGGGACTTCATTACTGAACCATTTCTGAGCACAGGTTTGCCTTGTTGAGGTTTAACTGTAATGAAGACACAATTAATTTCAAACAGAGCTATTAGATAGAAAATTATTTATATTCTAGCAAAATTTAGAGGCATATTAATGCATTATGCACCTTTCCAGGTTCTATTTATATCAGGGAGGGAGATTAACACTAGCCATTAACTATAATAGGAATGCTGCTCTATTATGTGTTAGCTTGTTAGCTATCTGTAGCCTCTGATGACCTGTTGAGGGTCAGCATTTCCCCCCATGCATTCTGGGAAACTCTCAAGCACCCTGTCAACCTGAAGACAAGTAAGCAGGTACAGAAAAAATATATAGGATACCTGCTTACTCCTATTCAGCTTGACATCTGTGCATTAGGGAGCATCACGGTAAAACTGAGCTTTTACAGAATGGGCCTCGTGCAAGAACATATTCCTATTCCTGTTCATTCACCAAATGAGCCATAGTAGGGATGGGAATTGATAAGATTCTAATGATACCAATAACATTATCAATTCTGCTTATTGGACATGTTTCGCTTACAGATTCCTGATCAATTTTCTGTGCGGAAAAAACACGGAATACCATGTAGAAAAAGAGTAGAGTTATAGTAGTTTTAAGTTTTCTCTCAACTGGAACTTTTCTTTTCATGTCCCCAGCCATAAGTTGTTCATTTCAGCCTGATGATTGTCACCTTTTCATGAGTAGATGTGTGTTGTGAGATTTGATCATTAACATTAGCAACAAAAATATTACTAAAGAGTCACTAACAACAACTAACTAACAGTAAGAAGACCTTTCACACTGCTGAGCTTCAAGTCCGGCTGTCAGAAACCACTTTGTTTTTCAGAACACTTCCTATTTACTGTAATTAGAAATAATGAATACTAAAGCAAAACAATGTGTCATTAGAGCAGCGCTATACAGACATAAAGAGGGAATTGTTCAGGCTACAAGAAGTTTTGTTAACAGCTTTCTAAAGCATAATGGTCCATGAATAATATGAAAGGTGGCATGTGACAATCACAGAGATATTAGATGAAATAATATTATAGCAAACAGCAGGTAATTTACACTGTCGGGTGCAACAGAGGATGATACTGGAGGGAATGTTCCTCAACTTGTGCAATGTTTTTATAAGCTGCTCTGCCAAAATATGGCACTAAAAAAAAATATTACATCTAAAAAGTGAGTAAATTGGAAAGCTGCAGTGATGATATAAAGAATAGGATATTAGTTTCGGACATGTTGTACAAGCCTGTACTTGACTTGTACGACGGGTCTGGATCACTGGAATTTTGTTCATATCTAAAAGAAAAC